TAAATTATATACCTTTATAATATATATAATTAATTCTACAATGCTTATATAAACAAATACTTTACAAAAACAATTCAAAATTATAATACAAACACTAATAAATAAAAAATAAAATTTTAGCAAATGACTTCCGCCTTTTCCTGCTTTTTTTTCTTTTTTCTTCTGCCTTTCTCGTTCTTTAATAGACGTAACCAACGCAATCCACGTTAAATTCTAGCGATAAATCTTGAAGAAAAGATAAATAGTCAAAATTGCCTGTATTCACGTCGACTGTAAATAAATCTTTTGGTATTGACTTGTAGATGTTTTCTGCTTTATATGATATTTAAACATTTGCCTAGTTGCCCCCTTTCCCCCACTTAATCAAATCATAATCAATAAATTATATAATAATGTGCTATTTATACGCTCTCAAAATCCGCAAAAAAACTTTTTTGCGCTCATTTCATTTAGCTAAAAAATTTTTTTTGTGAGAGGCCTGAAGGGTGTCAGTCAGCTTTTCTCCCTTCCCCTCTTCTCCCAACGTGTTAATAATAACCGATTTAGAAAATCAAATAGAAGTAATAATAAATGTTATTAACACGTAAGAGGCTGACTGACAGCCTACTCAGTTCCCCCACAAAAAAATTTTTTTAGCTAAACAAAATAAACGCAAAATTTTTTTTGCGGATTTTAAGAGCGCATTATTATATAATTTATTCATTAAGATTTGATTAAATAGGGGAACCAGCTATAGCAGCAGACATATTTAACCTATCTTGATCAAAATCTATATATACATATGTATATTAATTTTAATGTATAGAGTGCAAAAGATAATTAACTTGCATTTTATAGTTTAAGAAAACATTACAATAAATACGTCAACAAAGAATCAGGAAAGTAATATTTATTTTTATAATAGAAAAAATTTTAAATATGAAAAAATATTTTTCTAATAAATTAATAAACAATAAATTTATTAAAAAAGAAATTTTAAATAAAGAGTAATATATAAAAAAGATAAAAAATTAAACAACAAAATCCATTGTTTAGAAATAAGAAAAATACATGTAAAGAAAAGAAATACGCATATAATATTATAGCATAAAATAACCGATTTAGAAAATCAAATACACAAAAGTAGTAAAGTATATCTTCGATTTATGTGCTTTCATATTCACATAGTTTCAATTTTGCGCATAAATAGCCCAGAAATTCTGTATATTTGATTTTTCAAATCGATTGTTTTTTAACACGTAGGAGGCTGACTGACAGCCTACTCAAAATAAATATATTAATAGCATAAAATAAATATATTGGATTGTCCGGAAAGTTCATGCCGATTTTGAAGGAAAATTGAAACGCAGAAGATTTAAATTTTTAATTTCATTTATTAAATTTAAATCTTTTGCGGCAGGAATTTTCCGGACAATCCAATAATATTGCAAAATAATTCTTATACTTTAATTATGCAATTATATAAAGGCATTACATTTTATAAATATTATTATGTACATGAATACACATTATTTATTTTACACCTTTTTCTCCATTATGTCAGTTCTTAAAAATGATCTTCTTCTACACGAGGCTGTGATAAAGAACGAAGCGGACACTGTTCGTAAAGTACTTAAGGAGACTGTCGACGTAGATTCCAGAAATAATGTAAGTCATTAAAAACACTTCAAAGAAAAATACACAGAATGCTATTCAATTTAACGTCTACTTTATTTTTGAATTTTTAATTTAGTGTCATTAAGCGCTTCTAATATTATTATTAAAATCTCTCTTAGTATGGTCGCGCTCCGATTCATTGGGCAGCATCTAGAGGAAACACAGAAATTATTGAAATGTTAATACAAGCCAAGTGCGATATCGAAGCGAGAGATAAGGTATGGTATATTTTTTCTTTTTTTTTTTAATTAATCTGTTAAAAAGAGGGAGCGATAGGGTTCACTAAATAACTGTAAATTGAGACAATAAAATAAAATATAAATTCATTCCTCGTAAAAAAGAAAAACTTTTACACGCAAAAATAAAGAGTCTTTAAATTTAATATCGTTGAGTGCTTCCACATAGAAAATTAATGTAAACGTAGGATCTGATAAATGGCTCCTTTTATTACACATTATATGTTAATACATTTTTGGAACGACACTTCTTTCGGAATTTACTCTAGACGACGACCGACTTGATGAAATTCTTCGTCGGACATTAATTTCCCGACTGTTCATTTCTCTTTCAAGTATGGAATGCGACCCTTGCATATGGCCGCCCAGCACGGTCACCGAGATGCGGTGAAGATGCTGATCAATGCTGGAGCAAATGTATCCGCGGTTAACAAGGTAATCGTCCTTTGACAATCGCTTCATTAAACATTTCATATGAAAGTAAATTCAAGCTTTCCCTTGAGATGAAATTTTGGAATGACACTTCGTAAGTGTCGCGATTCTACGAAATTTGTTAAGCATATACGAAACTTGCGCGAAATATTTCGAAAATAATCGCGTGAAGAAAACTTTATTTAGATAACGAGGAAACTTAGTTCAAATAATTTTCAAAAAATATTATCCAACGAAAATTTGCAGAACATGCTGTGCAGGATTAAATCATATGTTAAATTGGAGTTTATTGATCGCGGATATTGTAGAAAAAGGAAATATTGAAACAGAAATCTCACGGAGGTTGTGAAAAAAAGTGAAATAAGTCGCCGGGAAACCGCGGCGGAGTTGAAATCAATAATGTGTCAATATTGATATTGGCATCGGTCTTAAATAATAGGCGAGCGCTTTCATCATGCCCTCTCGGCGCGTCGTATATAGCATTTTATCACGCACGTGCCGATACGAAGAAAATGAGAGACTGAATTATAAGAGAACGGACACACACGAAGGCAACAACGATCCATATTTTTCTTTGCGAATTGAGACAACATTACGGTGTAAAAATCGCAAATTCGCCTTCGCGAAAGTTCTTCTTTTATAACAGCATAAAAATTATTTTTTTCTTTCTGTTTAGAAACAACACACTCTTTTAATGTGCGGCGCTCGTGGCAGCAACGTCGCCGTAGTGGAGTACTTGGCGGATGCAGTGGAATCGTTAAACGGTGAGGCAACTGACTCCACCGGGGCGACTGCTCTTCATCATGCAGCCATCACCGGACATCCGGCGGTAATCACAGCGCTTGCAAACATCCCGCGGATCGTGCTGGACACCACGGACAAGGTAAGCGAAAATATTCCCTCATTTTAGTATATCACTTCTACATGAACACGCTGGTACATTCGCATTACATTTCGCAGAATAAACAATTTAGATATGTAGGAGATTCTTTTTATTCCATCTCTTTCTAACAGAAAATCATATTATTTCGTTGATTTCTGCAGAAACCACGGAAACAAGCTTTCAAAAATTTTACTGTATAAAGATATCGAAGATTCTACGCGACATTAAAAAAACTCAAGAAATCACGGTAACTGCTTCGATAGATTGTATTGTTACTAAACACACACACACACACACACACACACACACACACACACACACACGCGCGCGTAATATATTCATAATTCGAATTACATTTAATCATAATCGTCAAAGAAAAGATATTTTTCATGATTCTTATATCAATTAAATAAACAAATAACATAATAAATGACAATTAATGTATCTCTCGTTACAAGATTAGATGATATATCAATGTACGCATCACGTGCATACCGAAATGAACCAGATATGTCCTTGCGTATATATGGGCGTATTTCGACCTTAGTTTCTCGAATTTCGCGTTGCAATTTGCAATGAGATATTCCACCCTCGGAAATCTGATTCCCACCATTTCGTCCAGATTCGGTGTATATACATACATGTACAGTACATATATACATATAAGATACATGCATGTATGTCCATAATATATGTACATACCCATACAGCACCAAACTTCTAAAGACGTTCATAGAACATTTAAAAAATGTACAAATATTCTTAGAACGTTTATATACGTTCTATTAATGTCGTGCTATCTGGATA